AATCTTGTTTTGCAGTTATAACATTTAATCTTAGCCAAACCTTTTAATTTGAAACCTGAATTTTCCCAGTTTCCACTATCACTCTCTATTATTGTTATTACCCTGCCTGCAAACAAACCTAAACCAACAACATCTTCTTCTTCTTCTTCTTCATAAAACCTTCGTTTTAATTCTTCATAATCGATCTTAACTTTAACACCTCACAAATCCAGGATAATACTATTGATGGTATTATCCTAACATTGTTTATGATACAACCGATTTGTGAGAGAATTATACTAACGTTGTTTATGATACAACCAATTAGTGAGAGAATTATTTTTATACTTTTTGTCGAGTTTCTCTCAAAGCCCATCAATGATCATTTGATGTACAACCTCCCATAACACTTCATCTATGAGACATAGCAAAATCGCGTTGTGCACTTCCGCCAGAATATTCTCCTTTACATCCTCTGCTATCTCCTTCGGTAATTTCACATCTCCTTATAATGTCGTCGCACAACCTTGTTGAACCAGAAAAATCTTCATCTTCATCTCGCACAACGCAAAATCATTTGAACCATCAAACTCCAAATAAAATTTGTAAGACGAAACAATGATTTACACAATAAAGTAAAATAATGTGATAAAACAAAACGAGATTTAATGTGGTTCGGTTGACATAACATATGTCCATGAGCAGTAAACGAAAAACTCTTTCTATTACTTGTCTATTATTAAAGTGATTACAATGAAATCTTAATTATGAATACTTATAACCGTAAACACTAGCAATATATGTTGAACCCATATACAAGTAAGACATTAACAAATGCTTTTGACAATATTTATTATAATAATATGTTTAGTGTAAACAAATTATAATTCTCACGTTAAATGTTTGATTAGTTATACATAAATCAACATCTGTGTTTGATGTAAAGGTGAAATAGTATATGTCATGACAATGCCAATTTTTTTTTTTTTTTTTTTTTTTTTTTTTTTTCTGTTTAAGGCTGGAGGAGATCTGGACACTATTTTTGTATATTAGAGTGTGTTTGGACTTGGAGATAGATAAAATACCTATTTAAAATCTTTATTGGGAAATTATAAAGAAGGTTCTTGTAAAGATTTTAAGTAGTTTGATTTCCATTTCCATTAAGATGATTGGGTATGTACTTTTGGTTACACTAGGGTTCCTCACAAGTGTCAGTCCCCTTTGTACCCTTTTTCTGATTCCTTTTCTGTGATTGCAGGTCCAATTGCTTGTGTTCATAAGTAATGACTATGGTACAACTGTTTAAGTACATGGTACAAGCAGTCAATGGGCTCCAACTTATGATATGTACTACACTTTCATTTGCCGAGTGGAATCAAATTTTGTTAATAACAGAAACCAAATTGCTACAACTTAATGAGGAAGATGTCTACAGTTTGAACTACCCATTTGTACTACATTTTCACAATATTTAAAGCTTTGGGTAATTCGTTTGATTCCTCATAGACATTGATTCGGTTAAGGTAAAAATATATCCATAAATGCAGTTTAGTCAATAAGTCCTAAACGTAACCTTAGTTCGATTAGCAACAATTTTTGGTTAACGTTCTTTTCTAATCACAAACAGGAGATGTGCTATGATCACCATTTTTTTTTTTTCCATCAATGAAGGTTAATTTTTTATTAGAAACCTCACAATATGTTAATTGTCATCGTATATTGAGTGAGATGACAAACAAGCAACAAACTATGTCGCTAAGTCTTTTTGAATGTTAAAATTAATTCTTTTAAAGACTACATCCGAAGATCTAGGGGATATAACATTACTATGCATGACTTGTTGTACTAAGAAGCTCTACTGCATCCGGTGCGAGGAAACCAAACGTATCGAATGCAAATTGTTTGAACACGTGTTGATTTTCCATGCACGATTTCTCATGTTTGGTGACTTTGCTTGTAGTTGCTTTTAAAGCAGCATGTTCCGCCGTGAAACCACCAGCCCTCAGACCCACGAGGGGATACCCCTGTAAGATCCACACCATTTAAATATTTTAATATATATATATATAATCATGCATGTGCAAACAAGGCTTTCATGATTCGGAATACATGAAAGAAATGACCCCACTATATAATATATTTTTGATTTTCTACATCGTATCACAAATCTTTGTCAATGGTCTCAAACTTCTCTTGCAGTGCACCTTTGGCGAAATTTTATGGGACTATTTGTAATACTAAATGGTATAGAATCATGCCGAATGTAATGAATTTCTCTGTGTATTATTCAGTATCATGAAACCCTTAAATGCCGTGGAACATTAAACCCAAGTCGCGATAAGTATTATTCCAAATTCGTTATATATGTTTTTGATTATTTAACATGTTTGATCAAAATAGTTGTATATCTATGTAGCATGAGGTGACTCTTAGCCTAATAAATCTATTAGGTCTGGGTTCTATGTTGTGGTCCCTTTAGACTTATGTTTTTAACTTTTCTACCTATATGGTATTTTTATTTTATTGTAATTGTACACTTTTATTATTAATAATAAAATCTTAATAGTGTTTTCTCACATATATTATTATTAATTGTATTAATAATTATAATATTTTCTAAACAAAACTGCAAATTTGATCCATGTGGTTTGCAAAAATCTTTGGATGGGGTTAAAAAAGTTTTCAGCTTGCACAAAATATCCAAAATCAAGGTTTTTAGTCCAAAAAAAATTGAAAAAACGATTATACCCTTTTTATTATATTTATTTTATTTTTTACAATTATTATAATACCATTTTAAATTAAAATTAAAAAGAAAAGAAATGTATTATCCTCTCTCTCTCTTTCCTCATTTATCAAATCCGAAAAAAAACCCAAATTTTTGCTACTTGGCTACAAGATTATACAGATTGGTTTGTTAGAATCTCGATGAACGACATGAATGAAGTCATCATAATGTGTAACAGGTTACACTATTAGAATGTTGATCTTAAATGCCCCTACTACTACAAGAAGGTATCTCTTGATTTCAGATTCAACACACATGTTTATAGATTTAGATATTGTTTCAGGTGTTGAGGCTTATAAATAATTGCAGGTTTTACCCCAAAACAAACATCATTGACGAATTATCTGATAACGAAGACACATACGTTGATGCAGGTTCAACACCAACCCTCCCATTTTCTTCTTTCTCGCATTTTCTTGCAAATGAAACCTCTCGTATATAAATCCTGCAAATCAAACATCTCACAAATGAAACCCGCTAATGGAGGTGTTGGTTCTAGGAGTCAAGACATCTGATGAAATTGCTCACCCACCCACTTCATCTTCTCCGCCCTTGGTTTAAATATTCTTTTGGGTTTTTGGTTTACATCATCTCATCTTCTGGGTTTTTGATTTTCACTAAGAAGGGTAAGATCAACAAGAAAAAAACCATTTAATCGCAGGAATGGAGATAAAATCAGGGGTGTCACAAGTTTTAGCTTGTCAGTGACAGAGGCTTAAATTCGTCGGAGACACCGTATCACGTTTTTCTGATGAGGCACAAGATAGATATGAGGTAGGTAGGTTTAATCGATCCACTCGGGGGCAAGGGTGTTTGATTAACATGGGAATAAGAAGATGGTTGGGAAATGGGCAATTCTTATTCCATTTTTGACATGGATTTGCTTACTAATCTGCTTTTTTTTTTCCATTGATTACAAGTGAAAGTAAAAAGCGTGGAAGGAGAGAGAGAGAGAGAGAGAGAAAGAAAGAGAGAGAGAGAGAGAGAGGATAACTGTTTTCTTTTCTTTTTATTTTTAAATTAAAATAGTATTTGAAAAATTGAAAAAAAAATATAAAAAGAAAGTAAAAGGGTATAATCATATTTTCAAGTTTTTTTGGACCAAAAACTCAGAAAAACCTTGATTTTGGACCTTCTGTGCAAGCTGGAAACATTTTGGACTCCATCCAAAGATTTTTGCAAACCACAAGGACCAAATTTGCAGTTTTGTCTATTTTCTACCTATATCGTATTTTTATTTTTATCGTAATCGTACACTTTTATTATTAATAATGAAATCCTAATAATGTTTTGTAAGATATATTCGATCCCTTGTTTATGATTGTTGGGTGACTTGTACATGAAGAAGTGACATTCCGCTGATCGATTTTGGCAATTTTGTGTATGATTTTTTGATCTGTTTCTGTATTTGGTTGGTTTGATTTGTTTGCATTGTTTGGTTTTTTTTCTTTTTTTGAGGGATTTGATTATTGCTGGTATTTGTTTGATTTTTCGTTTTTTGTTGTTTTTCGTGCCACAATTTTTGGGTTCTTCGCCTCGCGATTTGAGTGCCACTGCCTCGAAAATAACATTTTTCCGTCGATATCTCGCCGCAATTTTATACCCAAGTTGTGATTTTTGTTCAGGGTACAAATTTTAATAAAAATTACTGCTTCTTGTTGTCAACATGGCTTCAAAAGACGCTTCTCTTCCATCCATTAATATCCAACTTAATGACAAGCACTATCCCTACTGGAGTTTTGTTATGAAGAATTTTTTACGAGGGAATAACATGTGGGGAATTGTGGTAGGTACACGAAGTAAACCAACCTGAAGAATGCTGCAAATTATACAACCTTATTGGAATCATGAGAGACTGATAACTCCAAGATTATCCTTTGGATTAGCAATATTGTAAGACAAAATTGCAAGAATGGTCCCTGTGGTTAGGTCGAAATTGCCACTTTGGGCCAAACAGGTTTGGACTAGTACTCACCGTCCAAAGATTTTCATTTTCTTGCCACTTTGGTCCAATTTACTTTAAATTTTTTAATAATGACCATTTTGCCCTTTCTTTTTATTTTTTCAGTTTTTTTATTATTTATTCAAATACTTTTATTAAAAGAAAAAGAAAAAAGAAAATACATTTCTCTCTCTCTCTCTCTCTCTCTCTCTCTCTCCCCTTATGGTAGACCACCACCATCATTGCTAAATCTATCCAACACTTCGTCTGCTTCACACATCTTCATCCTCTATGAAGATCTCATCTAGATCATTCCTCAATCCAGCCAGGGCTGGGGCTTCTCGTGACTCACCACCGCTTTTCCTCTCAAACTCGCACAACCATAGGCTCAGAAATAGTCGTAGCATCAAAGGCGGCGCGTCTCCCGCAATGTTCCCTACCATCGGTAAAAAAAGAGGAAGCAGTTTCGAAAACCCTGAACCATCTTCCCCTAAAGTTACCTGCATTTGTATGGTTAAGATGAAGAGCAAGAAGAAGCACACAAAAAATCTGAGTTTATCAAGACGATAGAGCGCCGACGAAGTTAGTTTCAGGAGATTCGAGCATTCCGGTAATGGGTTCGGTGGTCAAAGTCAAAATCTTGGTTCTAATCAAGAGTGTTTACCATTGCAGAGGAATAATCAGAGATGGGTTCATTTACCATTTACGATTTGTGAAGGTTTAAGAGCGTTTGGGTCTGAGGTAAGTTGTTTGTTTCCTTACCGGTCTTCGTGTTCTTCAATGACGGTGATAGAGAAAGAGGAAAAAATGGTTGGGGAAAATAGACATGGGTCTTGTGGTGCGGTGTTTGCACGGTATTGCAGGGAGGTGATGGAAGTGGAAGAGATGCCAATGGTGGTGAGAGAGTGGTTGAGTTAATCGCCGGAAACGATCATGATGAGAATGAGGAAATTGATGAGATGGGTATTATGAATTGAATAAGACATGTATTTCAAGACTTGGAGATTGTAAACGACCTCGTCTTTGGGACAATCGATTAAGCTAGGGTGAGCACTTATGTACCACCTAAAAATGCTTTGTTATTGATGAGGTGTAGATATGATCCTATGAAGATGGAAGCTCTCACGAATCGATTCTGGGAACCAAATATGGAGAAAAACAATGTGGAAGATGAAGATGAAGGTGAAGAATCTTGTAAAAATGAAGAGAAAATTGAAGAGAGCGTAATTCCTGAAAATCTTCAGCAGAGAGAGAGAAAGAGAGAGAGAGGGGGAGAGAAATGTATTTTCTTTTTTCTTTTTCTTCTAATAAAAGTATTTGAATAAATAATAAAAAAACTGAAAAAAATAAAAAAGAAAGGGCAAAATGGTCATTATCAAAAAATTTAAAGTAAATTGGACCAAAGTGGCAAGAAAATGAAAATCTTTGGACCATGAGTGCTAGTTCAAACCTGTTTGGTCCAAAGTGGCAATTTCGACCTAACCACGGGGACCATTCTTGCAATTTTGTCATATTTTAATTCAGTTTATTAATATACAGTTGGCAAAGTATGACATTGCAAAGGAAGTTTGGGATCACTTCACTAGACTGTACACACAATTTAATTTTGCAAAACAATATCAGTTAGAGTTTAATATTTGAGCACTCCAATTAAATAGTGTGAGTATTGAAGAGTTTATGCTTATATGTCTGTTTTGTGGGATGAGTTGGCTCTTACTGTATCGGATGACCTGAAGGCCTTCGACCCTTACATTTCTAGAATGGATAAGCATCATTTGGTTCAACTTTTTGATGGCTTTACGTTTTGATTTTGAAGGCCTACATGGATCCATCTTGAATGCACACCTTTACCCACTGTTGATTCGGTTCTTCATGAGCTGATTGTTGAGGAAACTCATATCAAGTCACATGCTAAAAAAGGGTCTAAGTCTGCTACTACTCTAATTGTCTTTGTTATTCCTCAACGTCATTAGAACTCTAATCCAAATCCCAATGCCCTTTGCTATTGAGCAAAGGAAATCAACAACAACAAAATCGACCTTCTGAATAGTTTTCGCCATGCCCCTCTTTTCCATCTTTTTGTCTACCACAGTTCACTATAGTTATTACACCTTTAGTATAGGTTGCAACAACAGTTACACTACCATCAACTTTGGATCCTCAAGTTGTTGAAAAGTTCAGACATTTCCTTGCATCCAATCCTACAACCATGACATCATCCACATCTCACTCAAGTTTGTCATCATCAAGTACTTAAAGTATTCCTTCATACTTGTGGATATTGGATTCGTGTGCATCTCATCACATGTCACTATATTTACCATCCTTTATTTTTTTTTTCTAGTTTGCCTATTTTTGTTATGCCTGCTAGTGCTACACCTATTCCAATAGAAGGTGTTGGTTCTGTTGTTACTCCTCATATTTCCTTTACCGATGTCTATTATATTCCTACACTTTCTTTGAATCTTGCATAGGTCAATCAACTATGTAAGTTTGGTTGTTGGGTCTTCTTCTCTGATTCTCTATGTTGTTTACACGATCGACAATCTTAGAGGGTGATTGGGATCGATCGAAGACTTTGGGATTTTTATGTTTTAGATCATATATAAGTGTCTGATGTTGCTGCCTCTAGTGTCGATTTGTCATTAAATCATCTTAAGATTTTATCTTTGGCATTCTCTTTTATGTCATGTGTTTGCATATCGTTTACAAATTTTGACTTCTACTAGTGTTAGGTCTTTTGAACAATCATGGTATTTCTAATTGTTTTGGTTGTAAAATGGAAAAAAAAAATTGCACTTTCGTTTAATGAAAGTTCCACTACTTTTGTTGCTACTTTTGATCTTGTACATTATGATGTGTCGGGTGTTAGAATAAATCAAGAGTTGATCGAAAGATTTTAAACAGAAAAGTAAATCAAATAAGAATGCGATAATCAAACTGGTGCCGAGTGATTAATAATAAGTGTCTTAGAAGAGATCGATGAAGAACTTCTACTGTAAAGACACGATAGGGAATCACAAGATGATTAACCCTAATATTACACATGCATGCATTATTTAAAGCTAAACCCTAGCTACATAAGGGATGGACAAGCCCAGTCCGTAAAAGGATTACTACATACATAATACAATTTTACACAATCTATTTAAACAACCCAACAATCCCCCCTTTGCATCAAATAAGGAAGGCAGATTCTTCAACTTTGTTGTTGCTTTTGAACTTTAAAAAGTTTTGGCATTATGCTCAGCAGAGTCTTGCGAACCAGGACGTACCAATTGATCATATCATAAAATCATTTTTTGTCTGTGGCACTTTTTGATTTGCTCTGACTCACAAACTCCATAATATATTCCAAACATGAGGAGGAGTATAAATGCTTGTCTAGTAAAAAGAAAGAAACTCTGAAAGTTCGCATAAGGTTTTTCTTGTATCTGAAAATCAACACTCCAATCATTCTTTCGTATCCTACCCAACTTCATCGTGTCAAGATCCTTATGAGAATCCTTGGGAAGCACTGTAGGTTTCTTATTAAGGACAATTGTAATCTACACATCCATCTTCTCAACCTTTTGGATGTAACAGACCACCATTCGTTTATGATGTGCAATAATGGGCTCGAACTTCTATTCATCTTTTAGTAGTAGAAGCAACAGATAAATCCAATCGAATGGGTTGATGTAGGTCAAATTAGCGAGAGTAAATTCAAACATTGAACTTGTAGCTCCACGAGCAGCCTTAAAACGAGTATTGATGAAGCTCTCAGTTTCAATTGGTCCGAACACCTTGACACTAGTGATCTTCTTTGAGCTCCACGTTATGTGTTGAGGCTTCATGTGCTTTAGATAAAACGAAAATAACACATGATCAACACCTATGTCAGAGAGAGAAACACTCACAATCTTGTGAAAACTCCAAAACTGAAAGGCCTTCGGTGTGATTGGCAGATCAAGTTGTGAATTTGGAGAGTTCTCCAATTCAAAAGTCGCAACCATCTCTAAATAATACTCGTTTGGATTATCAATGGCTTCATTTAGGATTCATTCTAATGTCCATAAAGGAAAAAGAGTTCTCTAAGTTTTTAAGGTATCCTCAGCTTCACGTGCGGCCTTTTCTTTTGATTCACCCTCTTTAGCGACTCACAAGTTTTCATCAAGTTCAACATCGCGAGCTTTACGCTTTAACTTATCAGTTTCATCTTCTACTTCCTCACCATCATCATCATTATCAATCTCCTCTTTCCCTTTTGATTCCGAAGCTAGATTATCCTTCGGATCATCAGTCTTGGGTTTTTGTTCATGTTCATCTTCAGCTCCTTTACCAGCACCAGAAGATCTTGCTGATTCTCCCCCTTGTTTTGGAATAGAAGATTCTTAAAGACCTTGAATTCTGTCTAGTATTGAGAAGATAGGATTCAATTTCTCTACCAGATGATGACGAACATAGACTGTGAGGAGAGGATCACAAGTCTCGATTAAGTTGTGCATATTAGCGCTCACATCAGCAACACAACATTTGATAATAGCTGTTTTAGATTTAAGTTCGGCAATCTAGGAATTCGCATGTGAAAGATTCACCGAGAGAACCTTCACCTTCTCAATTTTAACAGCGAGCTCATCCATTATCTTGTTCTCAAGAGCCAAATCATACTGAAGTTTTTCAATTTTAGAGGATATGGATGTTTGGAACTCAGAGTTGTTAGTTTGGATCTCAGAGTGAATCTTCGTAAGAGCTACCTTTTTAGATTGGATAGTGGAAACATAGTTGTTGATGGTTGTGTTCGTAGAGGCAGTGTTGCATTCAGATGATGTGCAGAAGTCCACCATAAAGTTTTTAATGTCAGAAAGTAGTTTATCGACTTTTCCGGTCGTATCCTTGCAAGTCTTTTCGGAATCAGCAACTGCTTTGTTTGTGAGGGTGAGATTTGCAGCATGCTCCTTCGTAAGTGTTTCAAGAAAGGATTTGATAGAAGCCTGGGAGTATTTATTGTTGGATGAGGCTTTGTTGGACTCAAGTAAATAGTCTAACTTGGAATTTCGAGTCTTGAACTGCTTTGTTGTCATCGGAGCATGGTCCTTTTGGGTTGCCTTTACCGGAACAATTTGACAGGATGGATAATTGAGAAAGAGGTTATGTGTGATTTATGAACATATTATGTGAATAATATGTTAATTGAGAAATCATATTATTTAATTAGTATTGATCAATAGTTAATTTGAAATTAATTTAGTGATCAAAAGAGACTGATTAAATTAACAGGGACTAATTAGGTAAATCAGTAATATTTATAGTTTGGGCTAATGATCCATGTTGATTAGGGATGGGCTAAATCTATTAGAGAGTCCATGAAGAGTTAGTCCAAAGGGGCTATCATATGGATCATTGGAATACCCAAGGTTTTAGGGTTTTATGTATGAAACCCTAAGGATTCCACACTATAAATTGAACCTCTATAAAACATTTTTTTGGTATGCAATTAGGCCTTGTAATCCCTTGTTTGATACATGTGGTGGTGGTTCACATATTGTCTAGTACAAAGTAGTAAATTATGGCATATTGACATCAAGCCTCCATTTGAATTATTTGCTTTTTTTTGTTGATGCAAGACTCCTTGTGTTACAGGGATTTCACTTTATGAGTTGAACACCTAGTTTTAGGGTTTATGTGTGTAACACCTAGTTTTAGGATGTTTCTAATATCGGGATAGCGGACCGTAAATGGATCGAGTAAGGGTTAAAAAGCCCGATTATGGCTTTATCTTGACATATGTTAAGTCAAAATTAATTAGACAAGGTTGTGGGGCTCGTCAATAGCTTTCCGTGCATATAAAGAACACCAAAAATGGAGTTGAAATGAAGAAGTTATGGTTGTTTGAAGTAGGAGTGGATTTGGGTGGAAAACCCATCGCCATGAGGTGAGGAGGTGTTCTTGGTGCCTTGAAGAAGAAAAAGAAGAAGGTGTTCTTGGTGCATAGATCCAACACGCAAGTTCCTTCACCACCTTGGAGCACATATTCTAGACTCTTGTAAGTCCCTAAGTTCCAACCTTTATGGGTTATGCTTCTAGATCTAGGCTTTTGTGCACTTTCTTCATGCTTGGGAGAGTTTTAGTGGATGGATTCCATAAATTTGGCGACTTTATAGATCCTTGAGGTCCCTTTGAGGTTTAGTGCTTTGGATCTAAGATTTGGTTGGGTTTTGGCTCATGCATGAGATTTTTTATCTTATTGCCGCCATTGTTACGACTTATCGTGGGAAAGACATGCATGTCTATAAAGAAACAATTTTTATGACTCTTTGGGTATAAGAAAGCCTTCTGGATGTGATGAGTGTGTGGCTAAATGGATTAGGGGGTTAGTCCATTACTCCGTTCAAGATCAATTCCTACGACGTGACTATATGCTCTCCACATCATGACATATAAGGTTCTCACGACTGTTTTGTCGGGAGATTGTCACGTCGTAGCAAATGATAGGCTACGATGTGGTGGCCAACAAAGTTGTATTTTGGGCTATTGACTTTGACTTTGACCATTGACTTTTTGATCAGTTTGACTTTTGGTTTAACCTTGGTAAAATTGAGTGTTTAGCTAAGATCTAGTCTCAGTTTGGAACTACGTAGCTTGTGATAGTTGTTCTGATTGTTGAGGTTTGCTATTAAGGTTATGTTAGGTAGCTCATGTGAGTTTTCTCGCTATACTTTGTACTGCAGTATGTATCATTATGTGTAGATTGTTGGAATGCTGTAGTGATCTATTTGATTGTCAAATCTATTATAATTACCTGTGCAGTTGGTTAGTATTTGTTTGTTTGTTTATGTGCATATGTCGATATAGTATGGTTGGGTTGAGGCGATACTTCTTTGTGTTGTAGGCTAACATATCCAGGAACGGTCTAACTACATGCTATAGGCTCAGGAGCGGTCCAACTATATGTTGTAGGCTCATGAGGTGATCCAGCCCTGTGATGTAGGTCTAGCGTGCATGCATTGTATGTGTATTGTTGTGTGGGGTATTTTGGGGGATTTCACTAAGCTTTGGGTTACAGTTGTGAATTTAAATGTTTTCATGTACTTTTAGATGATCGGAGCAAGATGAAAACGTGATCGTACACATCCTCCTGCTAATATATGTTTTGAGAGATGATAATGATACTATGATTTTATGGTTCTGTCTTGGAAACAATGTTTGATTATTCTATGGATTTTTTGAAAATGTATTTTTAAAATGAAAAATATTACTGTGGTTTTTGGGATGTTACAATGTGATTATAAGTCTTCCATTTAGCGAATCTATAAAGCCCTCTTTGTGAGAACTCCTTAGAGTGTGTTGAATGTGAATAGTTTAGACAATGTTATTGATTTGTTAAGATATGGTTTGGAGTATATCCTTATTTGTTAGAAATATAGTTTTTTGAACAATTGAATATTATTAACTATCATAAGGTAGAAAGTGAAGTTGAAGTGTGATTTCATGATCTGATCTTTACTTGAGAATTAGCTTAATCCTCTAAAATTGTTCATCGGTGAGATTGAAGTTTCAATTTCCTCCTTTAAAGATACTTAAGCCTCTAACACTCAATAGACCTTTAATGACAAAAAATCTAGTACCTAGAGTTCGGGATAAAAAAGATTCATGATTCAGAATATTTCAACATTTGTTTCTCATTACAATATCAAACTCCAACACCTATTAGTGCTTGTTTCATTATTTTGAGCGTTTTCATGATATTAATATCCATCATTTCCATGCATGTAAGGGGAGATTGTTAGAACAAAAAAATCATCTATAATGATGAGATGATAATAGGCTTGAAATATTCGTTTTATATTTAACATAAATTCTATCCACTAGTATATATATAATGTGTTAGAGATATTCTTATGTGTGTGTACTAATAATGTAGACATAGAGAGAAAGTGTGACTGTGATATTATCATTGTTCATCAAATATTATCTTGATTGTTCATTATGGTTCTTATTTCTACATTGTTGATCGATTCATGGGATTTAACAAGAAGAATATCATCAATGCCTCAACATAGCATTTGTTGTTCTTGAATAACTCTTAGGTTAACGTGGGACAAGATGTTCCTGAAAAAGGGTCGAGTGGAAGACGGTGGGTTTTTAGCGGAAAAAGGGTCATGGTGTCGATATTTGATATTTTCATAATCTAAAAGTTAGATAAGTGTACTCTAGGCTTTCAAATGGGCCACTCAACAATTTACTAAAACAACAAATCAAAACAAAAAAAATGGATTGAAAGTTGAAACTGCATTCATTTTACCAACCCTATGAACCAATTCTGTAATTATATGTAAAATAGAGAAATATTTGGATACAACTTGTAAGAGTTTAACAATCATTTATCAGTTTTGTTTTTTATTTGCATGCATACATATACTTCCAACACATAACAACATAACATGCATTGATCATTTGATTGGTCCCCTCCTGTCTCAGAAAACCATTTTCAACAACTTTTAATCTCTTTCAAGCCCCCAAACACTCACATCACCATCTTTCTTTCTTCATAAATCATAATCCAAATCAATGGAACCTCATAATTACTCTCTTTTTCCCTGGGTTATAATAGAGCATCACAAGTCACAACGCATCCAAAAAGGTCCCAATCCTCCTCTCTTTAAAGCCAAACACACCCACCCTATATAGACACCTACATTTCTCTCACAATCCATACATTTATGGATCATCGATAACTGTGCGTTATTAGCTTTTTAGCTGTTCGATTTGTGTACAATTGCTTCTGCAACTCTACGATTAACTCGTCTATTACTTTCTACCTTAGCATTGCTATAAAACATCATGGAAATGAGCGCTCTCTGTTACATGCTTCTTTATGTGTTCTTCGCTACTTTTTCCCAATTTGCTCTATATTAATTCCTATTTTGGACTTTTACTCGTTGAAAACTAACCGGATTTCTTTAAATATATACGAATTAGAGGTAAATCACTAAATCCCATCTGGGTTTTCCTGATTTTCGTTTTCAATTCACCTTTCATTATATCATCATCATCATCCTCACATGCCTCTGTCCCTTGTAACTTTCAAGTCGACATCAATTTGAGATTTAAAAATGGGTTCCTGAAAAACACCCCCATGTTCTTCACATTCAACATCTTTCCGTGAGAGTAAAAAAGAAAAAAGCGTGATGGATTTGAGATTTAGAAACGATGGGTTTCTTTTTGTTGTCATGTTAATGATGCTTGGTTTGAACGGAATGTGCATTGATGAAGATGTTGTAGGAGCTCCAATGGCGAAAACAGAGCAAGAAGCTCTGTACATTGCTGTTCAAGGATTTGTGGGAAAATGGTGGAATGGCTCAGATCTTTATCCTGATCCTTGTGGTTGGACTCCCATTCAGGTAGACTTTTTCTTCCTTTTGCAGTTCCATTATCATGTTAATTTGTCATATTGAATCCACTGTTATGTGTTACAAAATAGTGTAATACTTTTCTCACTAGTCAAAATCATAAATAAGAACACAAGGAAGTTGACAAAAGTTGGAATCATACTAAATTTGCATATTATAATCTCAGTATGAGTCAGTAACGTTCGAAATTGCATGAACTGAAGAAAATCAAGTTCTCAAAAGTTTTGTTATGATTTTGATGATAAAATAATGGTGTCTTAATTTCTACAGGGTGTTTCATGTGATGTTATCGATGGATTATGGTATGTAACAGACCTAAGCATTGGTCAAGTTCATGATAACTCTCTTCCATGTGCTCAAAATCTCGAATTTAAACCCGATTTATTTCAACTTCAACACTTGAAATCACTCTCGTTCTTCAACTGTATCATCTCACTTCCTCAAGGTCCGATTACATTTCAGAAAGCTCAATGGGATGCGCTTTCAAACACCTTAGAATCCATGGAGTTCCGGGGGAATCCTGGTTTGAGAGGCGAAATCCCAACCACCTTAGGCAACCTCAAGAAACTCGAATCACTTGTACTGATCGGAAACGGATTATCCGGCGGATTACCGGAGAGCATTGGCGAGTTGACTCAGTTGAAGAGGTTGGTTTTGTCTGGTAATTCGTT